ATTGTCTAAATGAAACAAAATTTGTATACATATGTGTATACCTTGGCAGGTGTTTCTGTGCCTTGGAGCTTTTAGGATGCATTATGTTATGAATTCATGGCATGAAATCTTAATTTTCTTTGTATTATGAAGAATTTTGCCATTGAATTCAAGAGGGGTTCCTTCATCTTCATCTTCAGGCCTCGAGGGACCATTATGATGTCCTAATCTGACTTCCTTTATTCATATCATAAGACATAGAATTTAATTCATGGATTCCTATACCTAACTGAACAACTTGTAATTGAACTAGATAGAAACTAGGGATGTAAGAGTGTAGCTGTTTAAACAGGTAACCCATAAGCATAAGCTTATGGGTTACCCAGATGGTTATATGCCAGCTCATGCTCCCACAGTGCTGCCTCTGTATCAGGCAAGAACTGCCCCGCGCCTCTGTATCTTTTTACGGCAGGAGCCGGTATGCACAAGAAGCTGACTCTCTGCACTCTCCAGCTCCTAGAGAGCTGGATGCTGCCCTGAGCTGCTGACTCTGTATGACAGTCTGCAGCATGGGGTGGCAGCTGGCTCCCTCAGAGTGGGATCTTGCAGCCAGGAGCGCAAGGACTGCCAGCCCCATTCCTGGGGAGTCAGCATGTGACCACTAAAAATTTTTGCGGCTACACATTTACAATAATATCCGTTTTTAACATCCCCAGTAGAAACACATCCGACTATATTTAGATACCCTAAGTCATGAAGAGTTTATTTAGGGTTCAAAAAAGAGCTAGATAGATTCATGGAGATTAGGTCCATCAATGGCTGATAGCCATGATGGTGAGGAATGGTGTCCCTAGCCTCTGTTTGTCTGGAAATGGATGACAAAAGAGAGATCACATGATGATTACCTGTTGTGTTCCCTCCCTCTGGAACATCTGGTATCGGCCACTGTCGGCAGTCAGGATACTGGCCTAGATGGACCTTTGGTCTGACCCACTATGGCCGTTTTTATGTACATCTCTGGATAATCTGTTCAAATGGTAAATTTACCATCACTGTTAAAAAGATGTATCTTATTTCCTGTTCTAACTTTACCAGCTTTCAGTCACTGGATCTTGAAAAGTTAGAGTCCTGCAGATGAAACTGCATGTCTCAGAAGTGTTTTCGTTTCTGAGAAGCATAAAACTGCTAACTATAGTTTGAATCACACATTGACGCAGCATTACTGTATTGGTTTGGTTTCAGAATCTTGTGTGCAATTAAGGGGAATACTTAGCAATCTTTATTTAACTGGCTTTCTTCAGAATCTCCTCCTTTAGGGGTTGATGTTGTTAATTAGCCTCCCAAAAGCAGTTATCTGTTGACAACACTCAAAGATAACATTTCTTACCCAGTAAATTCAAACTCCAGGAATTACAAGGTGGATTGTGAGCGTAGGTTCCCACACTTTGTCCATTTTGTCCAGTTCTTCAGTCTAAGGTATAGATTCTGATTAAGTACAAAGAAATGAACTGGGGTGAAGGCTTTCTGCTACTAGAGCTGAATCATGAGTGTTGCAAGGGAGCATGCTTTCGAGAGCAATGGTTCTCAGCCAGGTGTTTGGGCTTCCTGGGGAACATGAGCAGATTTCAGGGTGTCCGTCAAAAAGAGCTGGCATTAGACTCACTGGCTTCCAGGGCTGAAAACCAAAGCCCAAGCAACTTAGCTTTGCAGAATCCACTGTGATGTGGGGCCCTGGGTAATTGCCCTGCTTTCTCCTCTCTAAGGGTCCTGGCTTTGGCTTTTAATCTACTGGATATACAGAAAATCAGTTGTTGCAGCATAGGAGGGCAGTGGAGTTTTTAACTGAAAGAAAAAGGTTTAATGCTCTTGCACTAGATAGGTCTGATCACAAGCACATGCACTTTCTCCCAAGATTGTGCCTCTATGCTGTCAGTGAATTCAAGGAACTGCAGTTCCTAGGTAAGTAACTTTTTATGTGATTTAAATCTTATTACAGGTCCTTTGGAAACACTTGCTTTGAAAGTAATTCTCATTTCACTGTCAAAATTCCAATATTAAAAATTATTCTGAAATACCTATAAATGTATTTGTTATTTTCTAGGCATTTGAGCTTGCAACTGGAGATTATTTGTTTGAACCACATTCTGGTGAAGACTATTCCAGGGATGAGGGTATGTATCGTCTGAGATGTTTGAACAGCTTACAGTAGTGTTTATCTGTGTATTTGAGTAAATTGTTCATAAGCATTGTGTTTTGGTATCAGATTGTAAATTCAGATTTTTTCTTTTTAGTTTTAAGTCCCATCTGTAGCACTAACTGGGCCAACCCCCGTCAGCAGACACATTCATCTTGCTTAACGGCAGCCTAAAGAAATTAGCGTTCTTTCTTGTAAGATTTGCATATGTGTGAAAACCTGATTGAGAAAATAACAAAGCATTTTTGTTTCAAAAAGCAACACAACTGAGTTTTAATTTATTAGAGTGACATTGGACTAGATGTTTATATTTGTGTGTATATATTGTTTGAAGTAGCTGGTTACTTATTAAAAAAAAAAAAAAAAGAAGAATTAACTCCTGCTTCCATCTGTATACCTGTCCATTTCCATGCTTGTTTGCTTGTGATACCTTTTGCAGTGGTAACATGGGCATCATTCATTGTTCCTAAACACTCCTAATGATGCCAGAGTTCTGCTGATCCTGGAAACCTCTGCATGGGTTTGCTGCAAACATTGTTGATTTGAAACTATTTCTGATTTTTTACTAATTCCAGTTTCTTTCCTCTTCTTTTTATCCCCTCCTTTCCCTGCCCTTCCCACTCCTGTGTCCTTTTTTTCTCTCCTTCATAGACCACATAGCACACATCATAGAGCTGCTAGGCAATATCCCAAGGCACTTTGCTCTGTCTGGAAAATATTCTCGGGAATTCTTCAATCGCAGAGGTAGTACCTCTTCTTTTTGAAAGGCGCCGCGATGCAGACAGAAGTGGAATAGTCATTGCTGGTTGTAACCAATAAGGAACATTTTCTCAAGTCATAGAACAAAAATCTATCCCGCCTACATGAACATTAACAAATTAAAAACAAAAAGCTATGAAGAACTCCCTGATTTATGATATTTTTTAAACCACTTTATTGGTAAAATCTTACCTTTAAAGGTTGCAATTAATGGATTTTGGATGAAGAAGTTTTGCAGGAAGTGCCTTTCTCAATTAGCCATTAAAAGTGTCTTGTCCACATATTCATTAGTTTTCTTATAATTTTTGACCAGGATCAATCTATTTCTGTCTGTACCGGGCCAGTGTTAGTGTGTGCATGCAGTGTACTGATTAAACTGTTGTATGTTTCTGTTTTGCTGGCAATGTTCTCCAATGCAGATCACATAGCATTGATCATTGAACTGCTGGGAAAAATCCCTCGAAAATACGCTATGTTGGGGAAATATTCCAAGGAGTTTTTCACCAAAAAAGGTAACGGTATTTATGCAACACTAATTTAAAACATAGTACTATCCAAAAGGAGAAACTGTACGTTTTTATGATTACCGAAGAAATATATCCATTTAAGTGAGGACACCATGTTAAAGAAGAGTCCCAATATATGTGAACTCACCCATTCTTTGAAGATCAGGAAGTTTCAGAATAAAGACCATTTCCCTGTATCACTTATATTAAATAGTGTACTCAACAAAGTGGTGGATATTAAGTATAATATCTATGAATCCGCTTAAATATGCTCAGTGTACCTCATATGTCCTGCTGTTTAATCCAGTTCTGTTGATATCTTATATAAAATAACTATGAGAGAATATGCACTTTCTGGCACCATTCAAAGGAATTAAAATACTTTCTGGAAAATATCAGTTATCTGTTTTTTTACATCTTCTTTATATGGGTCAAAGTGAGGGATGGGATATGTGAGCACTCAACACTTAGATCATGTGTCTGATTTTTGCCAACTTACCATTTGTGTATAGACTGAGGGCAGAAAGGATAGTTGGGTGACACAAGTATGGATATACAGCTGTTGTCCTTTCTGAGTGCTGTTTCACTTTAAGCATCACAGTACATTTAAAGCATTTTTTCTTCTGTGTGTGTCACAGGGCCCTGTGATTCCATTACTTTTTTGCCTTTTGTCTTTGATTAGTTTAGTAGAATTAAACTAATATAAGTTACTTTTTAAAAATTGTGGTATGAATCATTGTATGTGGGTGAATCATTATATTGTCAAGTTGCAGTATAACTTGTGTTCCTTCCTGGTTCCACTTCTCACTCAGTTGATCATATTCTTTTAACGACTTGTGTTAAAATAATAATGTGAAGTCTTCTACTTGTCTAATATTATTTTAATAGATATTCTCAAAAGCTCTCTTCAGCAAGCCATGAAAAACACCTGTTCAAAATAGCACTTATAATGGAAGAGCATTACTTGAGACCTCATAATTAAAATCATGGTGGCAAGAGGTGGTGTTTGAGCAGAAATAGGGACTCCTAGGTTCTGTTTTCAAATCCAGTGTATGCATTGTGTTGGCGAGTTTAATGTGTGTATAAACTGCCATTTCAGTTATTGCTCTCTTCAAAAAGATTGTGATGAAGGTCATGTTAGCTGAAATATAAATTTAGCGTAGGCCGAGCAGCTTTTTGTTATGAAGAAATTAAAACCTTAAAATTACTTCAAAATTAAGCCATTAATTGTAGTTGTCTGAGGTGTACAGAAGAGGGAACTTTACTTTTAAGGATATTTTAATCCTTTTGGGGCAGTTTGTAAAAGTAATATAAAGTGGAAAAAGTTTATTTACTTCTAATGAATATCTCATTCTCCCTTGATAGTCCCATCTACTGATTTCCTCACTGTGACCTTTCACAGTGTTCCCTGTTAGCGATGAACTTTTAGTGCAAGGGTAGATAAGGAATCAGCCACCATTTCTTTTCCACACAGTCTGCTGTGATGAAATCTTTTCTAACTCAGAGTATGTTTACATTGCATTCCTCCTTTGAGATTGGAATGCAAATGCAGCTGGGCGAAATTTCAAATGAAGTGCGGATTTGAATTTCGCGCGCTTCATTTGCATAATTGCATCCAGCTGCTTTTTCAAAATACCTTATTTTGAGATAAAAAACGCTGTTTAGACACGGTTATTTTGAGGAAAAAACCTTTCTTTCGAAATGATCCTTAAACCTCATTTTATAAGGAGAAAGGGTTATTTTGAAAGGTTTTTTTTCTCAAAATAACCGCGTACTACACAGCGTTTTTTCTTTCGAAATAGGGTATTTTGAAAAAGCGGACAGCCGTGATTATGCAAATGAAGCACGGGAAATTCAAATCCACGCTTAATTTGCAATTTCGCTCAGCTGCATTTGCATTCCTCTCTTGGAGGAGGAATGCAGTGTAGACATACCCTCATTCTCCTATGTAATAGTTACTTGGCTTGTTACCTTTTTTTAAAGATTGATGTTGAAAACTAAAAAGGAAACCTTATTCTCAAAGAGAAGTATTTTGGTATTTTTTTTGTATGAACCATTTGTTTGTGATTGGTTCTCCTTTATAAAGTAATTTGTGCATTGCCAACTGATGATTCTGATTATATCAATTCGTATTGATGATTGTCATGACTGCCACTGGCAGGAAGCTTGGTTTCAAACTGTGCTTCAGTTGTGTAAGGTGTAGAAAAATAATGATTTATTTTTATTTTTTTAATTTAAATTAGGGCTGTCAAGCGATTAAAAAAAATTAATCGTGATTAATCGCACGATTAATCACACTGTAAAACAAGAAGAATACTATCTACAGGCAGTCCCCGGGTTACGTACAAGATAGGGACTGTAGGTTTGTTCTTAAGTTGAATCTGTATGTAAGTCGGAACTGGCGTCCAGATTCAGCCGCTGCTGAAACTGATCAGTTTCAACAGTGGCTGAATCTGGAC